CCCCCACTCACAGGACCCGCACCAACTCACAGGACCCACCCCCACCCACAGGGCCAACACCTACCCGCAGTGCCCAACCCCACCCACAGGGCCTGTCCCACCCAGAAGGCCCCCCCTCCCAGGAGAGCTCTGCCTGTTCCCCGGATGAATGCTCTAACCACTGAAAGAGGGACATGCAGATGACAGGAGCAGATGCAGGGAGGAGAGGAGGCAGGGAGGACCGAGCAGTGGCCGAGGGGAGCCTGGGTGGCCCCCGGAGCTGAAGCACAGAAGTCCCCGTACCCGGACAGCCCCCAACGCTCTCGGGGCCCAGCCCCTGACCCAGCCCACCGCACACCTCCTGGTACACCGGCCAGTCCTCGGGGTCGTTGCCGCTCTGGGTCCTGTTGTGGGGGGCCTGGCAGAAGCCCTTCTTCACTGAGAAGTTGACGTCTTCCTCCCCGCTCCGCTCACAGGAGCAGGGGTAGGTGACGTTGGTGCGGCTCATGAGCTCCGTGTTGTTAGCCCAGTTGTAGAAGGTGGTCCAGCCGCAGCACTTCACCTGGGCAAAGCGGGGACAGGCAGCTAGTCCAGTGCCCACTGCAGGCAGGCCGCCCTCCAGCAGGGCCAGGCCTCCCGGGACAGCCACTTCCAGGCGTCCCAGCCATACCACTGGGATCAAGAGCTTAGGGTTGGGAACCAGCAGTTAGCGTAATGGCTATGTCGCTGGATTCCCACGTAGTCGACCACAGTTCGCATCCCGGACCCAGTGGCTTAGAACTCACACCGGGTGCGTGTGTGTGCGTGCCCAAGATCCCGAGAGGAGAATGGAGGAGAAGGGATTGCGGCGTGACCATCCCCCCGGAAGGTGATTTCTCGCTTTCTGTCTCTATGTCTCTCTCTGTCTGTCTGGTGAGCGCATGCGCCCTATAGCGAAACCCTCTCAAAAAAAAAAAAAAAGAGCTTAGGGTTTGGGGCCAACAAGTGGCACAAAGAATAAGGCAGCTGGTTTCTACATGGCTGACTGAGTGGTTCAAGTCCCGGACTCGCGACCTGAAAAGCATGCCAGGGATGGTGTGTGTATGCCCCAAGTCCCGAGAGGAGAATGGAGGGGAATGGCTTTGCAGTGTGGCCAGCCCCCAGGGGTGATTTCTCATTCTCCTCTCTCTCTCTTTCTGTCTCTGGCAAGTGCACACCATCTTTAGCAAAAAAAAAAAAAGTTTAGATTTCACTTTGGCTTCTGTGAGCCGCAGGGGTTCAGAAGCGGCTTTGAGAAAACACGTCATAAACTGTGCACATAGGGAAAGCGAGTATGGGACCAGCCAGAAGGCGGAGCACAGCAGGAGGGATGTTCCAGCTGGAGGACCACACGGGTGTGCAGATGCCCAGAGAGTGGACGGGGCAGAGCCAAGCTGGGGTTGGGAGGCAGGTTCCCAGGTTCCGGTCCTGGCCTGCCACCTGCTGACTGAGTGGCCTTGGTCAGTGACCAACCTCAGCTGCCTCATCTGTAGAATGGGTCCAACAAGGTTCCTGACTCCAGGACTGTCACAAGGAGCCAGGCAAAGTGCCTGCCCAACACAGGCATCAGAACACAGAAGAGCTCTGGGCATGTGTGGGAGTCAAGATGTGGCTGAGCTTCCTGGTTGCCAAAGTGACAAAGGAAACATGGTCAATTCCACCTTCTAGGCTCTGTTTGCTAACAGCTACCATGCCAGGCCGCTGGATGAGAGCCGCAGGCCACAGTGTCCCATGCGGCCAGCCCGACCTGCTTCTTTCCGCAGCAGGTGTTAGGGCTCATCCCAGCTGCCAGTGGCCAGCAGGGGGTGCACCAGACACATTCAGGCGAGCTTGGGTTCCAGGCAGTTTCCAGTCCCGGTTGCATTCTCAGGTGCCAGTTGCCTGGGTGCCTCCTCTCAGGCAGAGCAGTCTGGCGCCCGTGGGGGTCATGCAGGTCTACAGGGCGGGTGACATCCACAGGCACTCACACCTGAGCCAAAATGAGGTGTCTTCCCTGGCCTGTTCTACTAGGCAGAGCCCTCCTTCCCAGGGGCCATGGGCCTGACCTCTGGCACACCCCAGGCCAAGGACAGTCACCCTGGCTCCTACTGCTTGTATGTGATGAGAAAAACACCAGCAGCGCACCACGGAATAGCCACCGCCTCAATGCCATCCGCTAGAGAATGGATCTCCCACGAGCTGGGTCAACAGCCCCCTCATCCGATGAGGAGACGGAGGCTCGGCCACAGGCTAGGAGGAGGCGCAGAGCCGGTGCGCTGGAGTCTGGAGCACAGCCAGTCCACTCCTGACCACAGCGCACATGGCCTCTGCAGGACACACACATGCTCGGCCCACCCCAGACTGGGTGTGGCTTGTGGCAAGAACTCACTGCTGGGGGTGCCTATCTCTCTGTCTCTGTCTCTCTCTAATGAAAAGAAAAACAAACTCTTTTTTTGGAGAGGTTTTTGCTATAGGGCGCGTGCGCTCGCCAGACAGAGAGAGACAGAGAGACAGAAAGCGAGAAATTACCCCCCGGGGGGATGGCCACTCCCTTCTACTCTATTCTCCTCTCGGGATCTTGGGCACGCACGCACATGCGCCCGGCGTGAGTTTAAGCCACTGGGTACTAG